ACAATGGACTGGACACTAGAAATTTTCTTTTCACTCAATAGAACATAGGCATCCTGGAACTCACATTTTTGACCTGCAAAGACAGTACTTTACACCAATGCTGGGAAAATACAATTTTCTCCAAAGGAAAGCTAAAACAAAATTCCAATACAATTTAAAAGCATCTACTGAATCCTGTTTTCTGCCTGTGTTTTTTGTACAGTTTTTGTAACATTACAGATCATTACATTTTTTCAGGTATGCTACCAACTATTCACACCCCCCCTTTTGGTGGGACTGGGGTTTGAACTCAGGCCTTTCAGATTGCAAAGCAGGTGCTCTACTGCTTCAGTCACACCTCCAGTCCATTCTACTCTGATTGTTTTGGAGATGGGGGTCTCACAAACTATTTGCTCAGGCTGGGCTGGCCTGGAACCATGATCCTCCTAACCTCAGCCTCCCAAACAGCTAGGATTACAGGTGCAAGCAACTGGTGTCCAGCCCAACTAATGCCTTTATGTTTGACATACACTAGCAAAGTATGCTAAAAATTTCAGCTGCTGATTTGTTCTTACCTTTTGCTGTATTTATAAAGTATGGGGAAATATATCCTCGATCGAACTTCATGCCTTCAATAATTTCTAATTCATCATTCAGCGTTTTTCCATCCTATGACAAGTCAAAGAATTAGGTGAATGGATTTCAATAGAAAAACAAACTTGGAATTACAGACCACATCAGTAGTAAGTCAATCCCACATAAGGGATTCAGGAAGAAGTATGCAAATGCTCCAGAGCACCCAACTCCATTGATGCAGAAACTTGCAAAAACCCCTATTTGAATGACTCATACAGGTAGATGAGACCCTACCATACAAATTAGGGTCAATCTACTCCAGGCACTGGTGGCTCACTCAGTAGAGTGCCTGCCTAGAAAGCATGAGGGCCTGAATTCAAACTCCAGTGTCACCAAAATAAATTTTTAAAAAACCCAAAAAATAACCATACTCACCTTTACTGTGATGACACCCTTTCTTCCAACCTTTTTCATTGCATCAGAAATGATGTTGCCAATTTCTTTGTCTCCATTTGCAGAAATTGTAGCAACCTGGAAAAAAAAAAAAAAATCAAGTGTTTTCAATTCCTTTTCTAGTAACTTTTTATTTGTGGCATGGAGATTGAACCAAGGCCCTTACTATGCCATGGAGCCATACCCTCAGCTCTTCAATCTGGCTACATTATTTTGACAAACATGAAATACATAAATCAGTTCTTGGACAAAAACAGTAAAAAAAAAAAAAAATCTCATTTTTTTTCTTAGTATATGTACTGATACTATAAACTAACAAAAATTACACATATTTGAGCTGGGGTTTAACTTGGTCTTCAGTACTGAAGAACAGAGGGGAGCACATGTGACAATCTAAAAACACCTTCAAACATACACAATGTATTTTAATCCAAATTATGGTTATTGAATTCTTTTAAAATGTTTTTGCAGTAAGAAAAAAAATGCATCCAATGTTAGTATTCTGACATTGGTGCATGGTCATGAAATAAAACCTCATGTAATTTTTAAAAAGTCTTTACCTAGCCAGGTGTCTGTGGTTCATGTCTGTAACCCTAGCTACTTGGGAGGCTGAGATGAGGCAGATCAAGGTTCAGGAGAATAGAGGCCAGGCCAGAGCAAAATAGGGCCTGCTTTGCAACCTCAAACACTCAAACCCCAGTCGCACAGGAAAAAAGAAGTCTTTACCTGAGCAATTTCTTCTGGGGTTGTCACAGGTTTAGATTGCTTCTTAAGTTCAGCAATTACAGCATCGACAGCTAACATCACACCTAGTTCAAGAATACAAGTCATTACAATGCTTATTTTCTCATGGTCTTCAGGCTGGATAGAAATTTTGAGATTCAAAAATATTTTAATGTTTTTAACATTAAGTCTATATACAACTTCTGTGCCGGTGCTGCTTCTATTCACATGAAGTTAGACAGTATGCACTGACTGGAACACTAAATTTATACAACTAAATCTTGTAACACCAAAGTTTGAAAATTGAATCAAGGAAAGGTAGATTTGTGGAGTTTCAAAAAAATCTCACCACTTAATCCAGCCTATGTAAGTTATTCCTAATATGATCATGCCACCCAGCGTTTACCTCCATTAAATGAAGCAAAATGATTAAAAACCCTTCAACAGGGCTGGTGGAGTGGCTCAAGGTGAAGGCCCTGAGTTCAAGCCCCAGTACTTCGAGAAAGAGAGACAAAAAAAAAAGAAACAGAATTCTTAGCAATAGGAATTTCTTCGCGGTACTGACAACAAAGAGACATTCCTACCTCTCCTGATTTCCACTGGATTAGCACCTTTGCTAATCTTCTCAAAGCCTTCCTTGGCAATAGAGCGTGCCAACACGGTAGCAGTGGTGGTGCCATCCCCAGCCTCCTCATTTGTGTTGTTGGCAACATCCTGAACGAGCTTAGCTCCAATATTTTTATATTTGTCCTTTAGATCAATTGACTTTGCAACAGTCACACCATCTTTTGTAACTTTGGGACTTCCCCAACTCTGTTCAATAATCACTGTTCTTCCCTATAATGGCAGGAGAAAAAAATGTGGTAGGACCAGGTACTCTAGATTTTTATACCAGTCTTCAACAATAAGGCAACTACTTGAATGTTGTGTCATTTTTATCAATCCTGCGACATGAATCTCAAGGGCAAGTTCATCAGCATTCTTAGTATACAGACAGAATGACCTCTGCTCCTCTGCCAAGAGTGTAACTTTGAATGAGTTATTATGGGAGCTGAAAATGCTAGGGACTAAAAGATGTCATCTTCCAGTTCTTTAGATCACTTTGATATTTGGACTAGCATCAATTTGTAATGAACCATCACTTGACTGACTATGAAGCACAGTTAAGACTCTCTTTAAACAGTACCCCTCACTATTTTTTCTTATCTCTCACTATATAACACTTAAAAAGTGATGGTTGCAATTGATTTTAACTGTACGCTATAAAATGGTAAATTTTATGTTAGTACCTTTACTACATGTAAATAACACACATAGTTTATTTCAGTATAACACAAAAAACTTATCATCAAGTATACACTTGAGGTATTAAAACAAACTATACTCTTCCCTCTATTATTGGCATTTAACTACTGGGAAAGATTCCAAATTTTAATTTAAGCAAGTAATCAAGATTCCCTCAAGTTTAAGGAAGAATCCACCTTGAGCTATGAGTAGTAACTCATAGTAACTACCTGATTACATTACATTACATTATACAAAGTAAGTTTCGAAAATCTGGCAGAAGTGGGTTCAAAAACCTTGTTATGCTTAAAAAAAAAAAAAAAAAGCCACTGCAAACTGGACACAAACTGACAAAATCCTATTCCATACTTGTACTATTTGCATTAGCAAACATTTTTTTCTGTGTAATTACAGTAAGAATACTATACCTTTGGCCCCATCGTAACAGCTACAGCATCGGCTAAAAGGTCTACACCTTGAAGCATTAAGGCTCGGGCATCTGCACCAAATTTTACATCTTTGGCATAACCCCGAGTGAGATGAGGAGCCAGTGCCCTGGACACTGGTCTCATCTGGCGAAGGACGGTGGGTAATCGAAGCATTTCTGGGGGAGGAAACAATTAGATGATCACTATTAGCACTATTCGTGCGTCGCAGCGCAAACATGCTCACCTGACCTCCGCCAACCACTCGGCCTAGGCCCTACACCGCGCAGCAGCCCCAGAACCTCAGCTACTGTGCGAGCTTAAGGAAGAGGCCGCCCCCACGCCTGACTTGTAACGGGAGCACCGAGAACACACCACTAGCTCCCCAAGGCCATCTACCCCTGCTGCCCCCAACGAGTTAATCTTTCACCGCTAAGACGGCCTTGAGCGCAGACGTGCTCCAAAAAGTACCCCGGAAAAGGGAAGGCAGCGAGTGACCAGGGAAGTACTGGCACTCCTGACGGTGCAGAAACCCGCTCGGCAAGTGTGTCCCCATGTATCCAGCCGGGGCTGCTGTATCAGAGCGGCTAGCCAGGTCGCGATGCCGGGGGCAGAGGCCCAGCCCACCGCGCGCAGCCCCACGTGTCTTTCCTTCGAGCAAGGTCAGGAGTGGGACGCACAGCAGTTCCTCCGCTGCAGCGACCACCCTCCCGGCCCCCTGCAGCTAAGCAGGACGGGCTGCAGCAGAACGGATGGCAAACTCAAATCTCCCTGGCGGGTCCGTCCTCCCTCTCTCCACTCCTGGCCCGGGCCGCGCGCGATCCACGCCGCCCGGGATGGGAACCCGCAGGGATTCACGAGGCCTGGACCCGCGAGCCGGGCCTGCGACGCCGGAGGGCAAGTCTCGGTCCTCGCCCGCCCGCCCACTCAAGTCGCAATGCGCAGAAGGCCCGTTCCCAGGCTCGCGAGCTCCAAGAGAAGGCGGTGCGGAGCGGCCGCGTACCTGCGGGGCGTTGGCAGCGAGAGCACGCGGCGAGGCAGGCCGTCGGCGGCAAGTGAGGGACAGAGTGCAAAGCGCACACGGCAATGAGCCCGTGTCCCCTCCCTCCGCCGCTCCCCCACCCCGCCCTGCGGCACCTTGTGCGCAGTAGGCCCCGCCCCTTCCCGGCGGCGGGGCCCGGCAATCGGCATGCTCCGCGGGAGCCCCGCCCCTCCATACCCGCGCAGCGCGGGGCCAGCCAGCTCAGCCTTCTCTAGTCGGCTTAGGCTAGTTCCTGGGCCGCGCTCCGTTCCAGAACCTTCCGGAAGGTGCCGCGCTCTCTTCGGGTCAAAGGTCAAGTAGCGTCATTTCCGGAAAAGGACGCAGGGATCGTTCTTTCACCTCGGCCTGCTGCCTAGAAAAGCCTAGAAAAAGCTCCTCTTTTCCTCCGCCTCCCCGTGGCCGCGTCAGAGGCTGCGCAGAGCCTCCGGACGAATCACTGCGAGCGCTGGCGTGGCCGCCCTCTCCGGCGCAGGGGGCGGGGCGGGGTGACTGAGCGCGCCTGCGCGGTGGGCGGCCTTTTTCACGTGCCCCGAGGCCGGACTGCGGGTCTCTCCTTTTGGTGGCGGCGCGAGAGCAGAGTCCGAGCTGCGGCGGCGCGAGTCATGGTGAGTCCCTCGTGGCTTGGAGGCTAGCGGGCCTGGTCGGCCTGAGGTGCACGGCGAGCCCTGCTGGCCCTCTCCGGGGCCTGGCAACATGGAAGAGTACCTCTCGGTGACCTTGTACACCTGCCTGCGAAGTACAGGCCCGGCGGACCCCGGCCTCCTCACGCGTGGGCTGGGGCGAGCACGGACCTCGTAGGGTCTGAATGGGGGTGCGGTGTCCTGGCCAGCAGCGGGGCCCGGGGCGTAGAGCGACAGGCCGGGAAATTATGCAGGACCAGCCTGCGGCAGAAAAATACTTGACCTTGGCGTAAACCACGGTTCCCCTTAAAGGGGTCCTAACAGATAAGCTTGACTTAGAAAGTGGACCCCTCCTAAAGGCACAGTCTGGGTTTTGGTGTTTGACGTAAGGCCCGCAGTGGCGTTGCCTGTTGAGAATGTAACTGCATAGCTTTTGTTTGTCCCAGCTCTAACATTTCTCTCCGCAGGCAGGAAAAGCATTTAGAAAGTTTCTTCCGCTGTTTGACCGAGTATTGGTAGAAAGGAATGCAGCCGAGACGGTGACTAAAGGTGGCATTATGCTTCCAGAAAAATCTCAAGGAAAAGTGTTGCAAGCAACAGTAGTGGCCGTGGGGTCAGGCTCCAAAGGAAAGGTAAATGGGGAGGCAGTGGAACTGATTTTTTATGGGAAATGGAAGAATAAAGGCATGAGAAATCCTGAGTGATTAAAAGTACACTAGCTGGTGTCATATGTTAGTTTTAAGGTAAATGATTGCAAAATACACTGGCTTGTTTTACACTAGGACTTCTAGAATACTAAAATGGCCCTTGGTAGGTGTTTGGTGGCCTGCTCTGACCATAAGTTTATTCAAATTTTAAATTTTTGATGAGGCAAAGACTTTTTCAAAATACACTGTGGAGGCCTTCTAAGAATCGAGGAATCTGGTATGATGGGGCATGCCTGTAATCCTAGCACTAACTAGGGAGGCTGAGGCAGGAGGATCCAGAGTTAGAAGCCAGTCTGGCTACACCCGGGGGTTGGGGGGAGAAACTTGAACTGTTGGTTTAACTTTTAACCTTATAATCTTGTGGGGGGGGGCACTTGGCACAGCTAAGAAAAGGAGCATGTTGAGGTATTCTCCTTGTTCTCCAGTTAGACTACAGGCCTCCAAAAGAGTTGGTCACTACAGCATTTATTGTGTTTGGCGTGAAATATTACAGTTGCATTGTTTCAGTTGTCTGAAAACAAGAAAAGTTCTAATGAGCCATCCTGGAGTTGGGAATAGCAGGGCTTTGGGGAGTGGGCAACTGCTTCAGTCTTTTTATGCAGATGTGTACTTTAAAGGAAAGGAAATCTTTCAACTAATCTTTTGTTGGTTGAAAGAAGTCACACATGACCATATCATATGGCTTTTAAAGCTGCTTTATTTCACATGGTCTACAGGTTATGTTAATATTTTACAATTTCTTAAACTTAGCATTGGTTAGTTAAAGTTAGCTTTTCAAGCATAACTATTTTTTTTAAAAATTGTAAACCACCATGGTTACTTCAGATTGTAGTTCTACCGTGGTGTTTTAGACTTGGAGATGTGTAATATATAATATAAATTATATTAGCTATCCCTACTTTTATTTTTACATACTGAATTTAACCAACATTTCATTAGTTAACAGTGATTTAAAAGTTACTCATGCCTGTAATCCTGGCTACTCAGGAGTGAGAGATGAGGGTTGTTGTTCAAAGCCAACCCAGGCAAATAGTTCTTGAGACTCTATCACAAAAAAGGGCTGGTGGAGTGGCTCAAGGTGTGGCCCTGAGTTCAAGCCCCAGTACTGCCCAAAAAAAAACAAAAAAGTTAACTATATATCTGGTGAGCTAGGTGTCTTTGTTAATAACAACCTTATTTTCTTAAGGATGGAGAGATCCAACCTGTTAGTGTGCAAGTTGGAGATAAAGTTCTTCTGCCAGAATATGGAGGCACCAAAGTAGTTCTAGATGACAAGGTATGTAATCGTAATCATTCTAAAAGGAAATTTTAAGTATTTGCTGTTAACTAATAGTTTGTTAACTAATAGTTTCTCTATTTGCAGGATTATTTCTTATTTAGAGATGGTGACATTCTTGGAAAGTACGTAGACTGAAATAAATCACTGAGATGGCATCACATGAAGCTGCCCATTCCACTGACGTCCTGAAATCTTTCATCATGTAAATAATTTCCATGTGTCTCCCTTTTATAATAAACCAATGATACCTAAACTGATGATATCCATTGTCTCTGAAGTTTAGTTTAACTGTACCTGTATAAACATTTCCCAATAAAATATGTAAACGAATGGGTACTTTTTAATATAAGGTGGTTTTAGAGTTCTTCAGTTTGGTATCTTCTCTTTGAGTAATCTGTAGAGAATTCTGAGAAACAAGGTTTTTCTAGGTAAATGATTTTTTGAGCTGAATCTAGCATTATTACACCGATGGTTGATACTGATAGAAACAGATTTCCACTTACAAAGTTAGCAACATTTGGGGTTCAGTTACAACAAACTTGTGAAGTACAAGTTCTTTGGTTGTAGAGTCTAGTGGTTTTTTTTTAACATCTCGGTTTGTAACTTTTGTGTAAAAAAACCTTTACTTCCTAAATGAACATTTCCAGTTCTTAAAACTTAACACTACTACATAATGTATTTGGCAAAAAAAAAAAATCTACACAAGGTGCAATCACTAACCTAGACTGAGTGCTGATTTCAAGGGTTGGCATTGTGTGGTAGTAGCAATACCTAACACTTAGGTGCATTTTCTAGATGCTTTGCATGTATTGACTAGTTTAATTTTTCAACCACCTTGTGAACTGTGCTGTTGTCATCTTGCAGGTAAGGAAGCTGAGGCACGGGGTTAATAAGATCATTCAGTAGGAAATTGAAAAGCCAGGCTTTAGATATAAGCAGTCCACTTCCAGGTGCTATTAAAAATTTGGTCCTTTATGGGGTTGGGAGCATAACTTAAGAGGTATAGTGGCTGCCTAGCAAGCTCAAGTCTTGAGTTCAAACCTCAGTACAAGAAAAACTTCTTTATGCCTGTTATATTCTTAGGTACTTCTATGCATTCACTACACATCTCTTGGAGTAATCTTTGTGGTGATCACTGGTATAGGGAGTGACTAGTAACTGTCTAGCACTCAAGTGTATCTAGTAAACAGTTTGTTGGATTTTTTTTTTTCTTTTTCAACACTTCCACAGGTTTTTATTGATCACCTATTATTACGGTGTGCACCAGAAACAGCATTGGTGAAAGTATGTTTGCATAGCTTAATGTTTTTCACTGATAACTTGTCTTTTCTTGCCTGCCTCCTCCCTCCTTTGGTGTTTCCCAGCTCTGTAGACTAATAATCCCATGAGTCTGCTTCACTGGTTACATAGATTATAAAAGTTTTAAAGACACTCATCAGAAGAAAATGCCAAATACAGTTTTAGCATTCACTGAACTAGCTGCCCAGAGCTTCATTTTCATGTCTTTAATTTTCACATTATTCCTTTTCACAGCCACCGAGACCAGCATTCTGGTCCTGTGTGGGAAAGGGAACCAAAGGGTTGAGTTTGTTGGATTTAACAAACAAGGAAACTGCAAAGGGATAGTCCTGTACTAGAGTTGATTAATCCCTAAGTACCACTATCAGCTACCAGCTATTACAGTAGTTTCTTAGTATAAGTACTTAAAATCTAACTAGTTTTGGCTCCTTATAAAAAATAAGTTTGTGATGTTTCTTAAAAGATTGTGTCCTATGTTTTTTTGCTTTCGGTGCTGGAGATTGAACCCAGAGCCTCTTGCATGCTAGGCAAACTTGGTACCAGAGCAAAGCCCCACTTTCAATAGTTGAATTCAGTAGTGGAATTGAAGTCTAAATGTAGTAGTATGTAATAATGGTCTAACTTGTGTTTCCCATCAGTAAAGGCATATGTACTTTTAATATGTGTATATTTAAATTTATGCATGTTAGTGCCTTTGGTATACTAAGACTCAATTCTTGTCAAATTTGGATGAGAGAAATGCCTAAAAGTTCTTACCAGTTTCCATGTGGATCAGCAATTTCAAACTCTTCCTCAGGCATAGCTGGATAACATGCCTGCACATTGTAACCTGAACACAGACTTCCTTGGGTTTTACCAGGAAGAATTTTGCCTGTCTTACCCCCCTTCCCCCAACCCTTGTACTGGGCCTACACCTTGAGCCGCTCCACTGTCCCCACTGTCCCCTTTTTTGTGATGGGCTGTTCGAGATAGGGTCTCTTGAACTGTTTACCAGGGCTGGCTTCGAGCTGAAATCCTGATTTCTGCTTCCTGAGTAGCTAGGATTACAGGTGTAAGCCTATCTTTATCTCTCTCCATAATTATTTTTCAGTTCAACAAAAGGTAAACAGCAACATACTAACCTGAAACATGCAGTTTCACATTCCCCAGTGCCCTAAATTTCTCATGGCAAAAACTCCCTTATTTTATCAATGCAATCTCATAATCTAAAATTACTTAGGAAGGGTAGTGTGGCTCAAGTGGTAGAGCACTTGCTTAGCAAGTGCAAGGCCTTGAGTTTAAGCTTCAGTCCTAAAGAAATGACTTCCTTAGCATTTCTTCTAGACAAAACATCACGATAGGACTATTGTGGTACAAAATTACTCTGATTTAGTGAGTTTGAAATTGTAAGTATGGCAGGTAGTTCCAAGGATGAATTAAAAGTTTGAAAATTGCCTTAGTTTTCACCTCTGCTTGGAAAGCAACATGGGAGAATAATGGGAAGCCTTGGCCTTTGGACTGGATTCCTAATGTGTCAAGTTACTGCCACATGGCCTTGAGCAAATTTCTTCATCTTGAGTTAGGTTTTCTTGGTTCTTTGTGATAAATTCCCACTCCTAGCTTGTCATTTTGGCTTTTTTGTTTTTTCATTTGCCTGGCACGTGCTAGGCAACTGCTGTACCACTGATCTGTGCCTCCAGGCCCTTTAAAATTTTTTTGACACAGGGTCTCTGAATTGTCCAGGCTGGCCTTAAACTTGTGATCCTCCTTTCTCAGTCTCCTAAATTACAGGTATGTGCCATCATGCCTAGCTATTGCTGTTTTAAGCTACCAAGTTTGGGGAAATGTTTATGTAGCAATACATAACTAATGCAGTAGTTTATGAACATTCTGAGAGGGAGGATGTGATCAGAAGAGACAAATCACAATAGAATACAGTTCAATAAGGCGCCTAATGCCACTCATGTTTTTCTGTAACACTGATCTCTAAAATTATGCTATTATTTTTACTATGTGCCACCCCAGCTCCCCTCCCCCAATCTTATTTATCCTTTTATCTCCATTGCTTAGAACAATGCCTGGCATTTAAAAAAAAAAAAAGAATGACTTTAAAATACTATAATAAACTGGCTTTGGCTTTTTTTTGAAGGAAAAGGAAATAAGCTTTATTATTCATCAAATGAAGAGGAGGGCAGTAAGATTCCAGTCTTAAAGCTCTGTAATGCTCCTGAGAGAAAACATCTGGATTTTAGAAGGAAGATTGGGAGCCATAGTTTCCTTTTTTTTTGGTTCTGGGGTATACGATGGAGTGCATGCCCCAGATCAGATGGTGGCCTTGCTCCTTATCTCTCAACTAACTAGTGCCATTATTTCTGAAGTTGTATGTCTTGCTTGACAGAGGTTTACTCCTTCCTGGTGGGAAGAGAAAGATGGGGTGGAGGAAGATTGCCTAATAAACTGGCTTTTGAAACTGATGTTTTCCCAAGTCATGCCTTGGTTTTTTTTTTAGTGGCACTGGGGTTTCCAAGTCATATCTTAAGGTTAAATGAGACCAAAACAGCATTTTGCAAGACTTGAGGCTAAATTCCTTTTGTTCTTTGTTTCTTAAAACAGGGTCTCAACTATCTAGCCCAAGCTGTTCTGAAACTCCCAACTTAATCTGTAAGAGAGTAGAGGAACTGGATCTGTTTTTTTTTTTTTTCCCCTGCTTTCTGGTGCTGGAAATTGAACCCAGAACCTGCTTGACAAGCATTCTGCCATTCAGCTACATCCCCAAAATTCCCTGTGTCGTTTAATAGGAAAATACCCAGATACAGGAATAACCAAAATACTTAATAACTTTAAAAGAACTTGAAGAGGGGCTGGGGATGTAGCGCAATGGTTAAGTGTTTGCTTAGTGTACATGAGGCCCTGGGTTTGATACCCAGTACCACAAAAAATTAAAAAAGAAACCATGGAACCATTAAATATTGGAGAAGACGTTTCAGAGTTTGATGTAGTATCCAGAAGCCAAAAAGGAAAATGCGACTTGAAACACCAAAATGACATCTGCAAGTTTAAAACATAACAAAACCAAAGCCATGGACTGTATTTATAGCTCATTGGTAGAGCACTAGCATGTGAGAGGCCCTGGGGCTGATCTGAAGTACCACCACAAACAAAACCCCACAATAAACTAGTGTAGTATAGTTGTATACTCATGTAATCCCAGCCCTGGGGAGGCTGAGGCAGGAGGATCTACAGTTCAAAGCCAGATTGGGCTATGTAGCTATAGAACCTGTCTCAGATACAGCAATAAACATATATACATACATAAATATATATGTATATATCTGTGTGTGTGTGTGTTTATGTGTCAGAAATTGGAGCAACTTAGTTGGATGGTCCTTGTTTGGGGATCTCACTAAACTGTCATTATCACTTGGGATGGAGTATACTGTTCCAAAATGGAGAACTCAATGTTGGTAAGTTGATACTTGCCTTTGGTAGAAAGTCTCAGTTTCTCACTACATAGACCCCTTTACAAATCTACTTGAATGTCTTTCTACATGATAACTTCATGATCTAAAAGAGCAAGGCAGAAGCTGCACTGTCTATTATAACAACATCAGAAGTCACATACCATCATTTCCACAATATTCTTTTGGTTTTACAGGTCAACTCTATTCAACAAGAAAGAGAATCATAGAAGAGTAACAAGTGTGAAGCTTGATCCCTAGTAATGCAAAACAACAAAAAATTTTAAAATTTCCGCAGCGTGCAAGCCCGACAAGGTGGTACATGTCTGTAATCACAGCATTAGAAGGCTGATGCAGAATGATCTCAAGGCCAGGTGCTGGTGGCTCATGCTAGTAATCTTAGCTGCTTAGGAGGCAGAGATCAGAATTGTGGTTCAAGGCCAGCCTAGCAAATAGTTTGGGAGACCCTATCTCAAAAATACCAAACTACATAACACAAAAAAGGGATTGGCTGAGTGATTCAAGTGGTAAAGGGTCTGCCTAGCAAGTATGAAGCCCTGAGTTCAAACCCCAGTTTGAACACACACAAAAAAAAGAACCTAGAGTTC